CTCCGGCTGTCCCCCAGCAAACCGCACAATGCGCCGCGTCCAGCCGCAGGGAAAACACAAATGCAACGCAGCTTACAGACAATTTCAAGAAGAAAAGCTGAGGAAAGCATAAATCCTCCGCGCCTCCCCTCGAACAGGGACACAGAGATAACCTCCTCGTGCCGTGGAGCCCGTTGTTTCCCTGACCCGCACCTTTGCTGTCACACTGCCTTAGTGTTTGTGTTTTTTCGTTTTCTTCAAAATAAATATATCTAATGGGAACAGAAAATACTTCGTGCTATTTACTGGCAACCGACTATTCCCGTAAAGATGGTGCTTTTGCAACAGCGCTTCCCAAGGCAGCCTTTTAGCTATAACGAATTACACTGTCATCAGTGTAGATTAACTCATTCAAATGAACATTAAATTGCCCTGACAATACTGCACGGACTTCATATCCTGAATTTAACTCTTGTCAAGAAAATTCCCTCCCCTGTACACTGGTACTCTGTATTATAACATGTATTCACACACACACACACAGAGCAGCGTGTTGGGTTGAATTCTGAGATTATAAAATTTTCATTAAACCTATCTTATAGGGTGTTTATAGGTATTTTTTCAGCTTCCCAAGAGGAACACAAGGTTATGCACTCTTTTTGCACAAGGCAATCTCACAACAGGAAACTAATCTTGACAAATGACCAGACTTTGATAGCTGTGATCTAAACCACTGCTCGTTAGACTGTTCATTTTATAAACGAATGGTAATAAACCTGTTGGGAAGTGTAGGATAGCAGGAATACTTTACAGATCACCCCTTTACAGGTTTCAATCACAGCCATAAATTTCAAGGGGAGCACACAGATATTCTATGCTGAGACAAAGACTCTGTCCCATACCAACCACATTTAAGGGAATTTTTATTTTTTGCTTTCTATACCTTTTAGAAATAATTTGTGTAACTCTGGCTTTTTACTCCCATGGCTGATTATCTCCAGCTCTCTTAAGCTAATGTCAAACCTCAAAATCCTTGGATGTGTTAAAGTATGTGGAGAGTGGAAATCAAATGCCTTTATTAGAAGCCGCAGGAAATCTCCGACTCCTAAGCACAACGAAAACATTCCAGAGAAAATCGTTCAAAGAGGACAAAGAAGAAAAGCAGAACAAGAAAACCTTGTTTTGAATCAATGATTGCGGAGTTTTATAAATAAATTCTGTTGCCTGGACAATTTTGAAAGACAACTCAATAGGTTTAGGAGTTTTTAAGTGTGTTTGCCTGTATGCCTGGAACACTTGGGGGACTCAGCCAAGCTAAAGCTCAGAACAATGGCCTGTCTGTTCATCAGAGTATTTACAATAAATGCTCTGAAGCAACTTTACAGTACTAGATAATCAAAAAGTCTTTACCAGCCAAAACTGTGTGAACTTACATTAATTTTGCATATGTATCGGGGCAATGCAAATGCTAAGACATGTCCTGACTTTAACCAGTAGATGAAAATGTTCACCAGCGGAAGAGGCCGTAAAGATTTTATTTGTTAGGATATCCCTGTGAAGGCAGGCCGAATCAGTAATCCTTAGAAACAACCACAGTTACATGATCCACTGTGCCTTCCTGCATGGCACAGCCATCTGGAGTGCAATACGGAGCCCTGATTTATTATATCCCACGCGGTTATCTCACAGTAAGTTTGACCCTGCTTTGCTCCTGAGAATCTCGGCTCTGCTGTTTACTCTCCTGGTGCCCTGACAACCCACCCTTTACCTTTCTGTGCCTCAGCCAGGTCCTTCATTTCCTCCTCTCTGTGGGCAAATAGATTTTAATTGTTTTATTATAACTAATTTAATCTGTGCTGAGAGATGTCCGTGTGCAGTGTGAAATTTGCGGTTCACATTAAGCGTGGTTCAAGAGGTTTGTTATACAGGACAAAGGTAGAAAAATCGACTAATTCAGTCAGGTTGTTTATTTACTGGGCCTCTGCCATGAAGCAGTAAATAGGAAGTTATTAAGCTGTGTTTGATGTATGCAAGAGGACAGATGCTGCTTCCTACCTATCAGAGACCTTCAGTCATTTCCCTTTCCATGTTATTCTGACTTTGTGTGTTGCAGCAACCGCAGCAGATACCTGGCTTTTCTTTATTTAATAAATATGCAAAGGTAGGGGTCACGGCTTTTGTAACTACTCTTGATGCAGTCTCTGTGTGTGACATTTTTCCTCTGCTGGGACATCCCTGCTGGCCTGCTCTGGTGCTGGAAGTTTGCTCCACACTCCTGTGCTATGAAACAGGGTACAGCCAGAGTAAAATACAGCATGTTTTTCACACAAGTGAGTCTTATTAAGAGAAGAAATTAAATTACTAATGAAAGATAGCTGTTCCTTGCTCTTTGGGATAAATTTTGATATTCTTTCTTTAGACGACGTAGGATTGGAAAAACAGTATGTATAGGGTTTTTCTAGCAGAGGACTTGAATATTTTTTGTAGTGTCTTACAGTTCACAGGTGCTTATAAAGTGGAAAAACGGTTGTTTGGTTGCACTCAGTTCAGAATACACAAAACATCCTGAGTGCAGTAAAGCAGAACAGGAATATTATAAATTTATTATTTTAAACCCCTCACCCCCTGAAAAATGAAATAATCCATTTAACATATTTTCCCTGCAGATGAAATAATTACATAGTTTATTAAAGCCAATTTCATAGCTGAAACTTCAGTATAAGAAAGATAATTGCCTTTCATCAAGTAGTAATAAAATGTGCAAAATTTTTAAACTTCTAGAAAAAATCTGTAATATCTAGAGAGAAACTAAAACAAAGAAACCTTTTTATTCTTCAGTGAGAACTGAAGAAAATATTTATTAACCCTCTATCCACAGGTGCTGTAGTGTGAACACCAGCCACTGGCGAAAGCTTGTGTTAAATCT